CCTGGACATGTCCTGCCCAAACCGGGACATGTCCTGCCCAAACCTGGATCTATCCTGCCCAAACCTGGACACATCCTGCCTGGACCTGGACATGTCCTGAACAAACCTGGACACGTCCTGCCCAAACCTGGACACGTCCTGCCAGCAGCTCAGCGCCTTCCAGCGCAGCTCTGCTCTCTCTGCTCCCAGCCCTGGGTTTTGGGCACCTGCCCTTGGTGCCACTGCTTGTGCCCTCGTGTCGCTGCCTCACAAAGACCACCAGTATTCACACAGCACAGCATGGCACGGCATTGGACATGTCCTGCCAGCAGCTCAGCGCCTTCCAGCGCAGCTCTGCTCTCTCTGCTCCCAGCCCTGGGTTTTGGGCACCTGCCCTTGGTGCCACTGCTTGTGCCCTCGTGTCGCTGCCTCACAAAGACCACCAGTATTCACACAGCACAGCATGGCACGGCATGGCACGGGTCACCTCGGTCCCCACCCCGGCTCCAGCGGCCCCAGGGGCTGATGCCAACCCCGGGGATAGGGGAAACCAGCGGTGCCCGTTGGCACCAGCCCCCTCGGGGAGTGCCCGTGTCCTGTCATCGCTCCCAGGGACCCACCCTGCTTTGGTGGGATGGGATTTTGCAGGATGGAGGTCTCACAGTCCAGACTCCCACAAGGGTCTTGGTGCTCCTAACCCAGAGGGGTTAGGGGGTCCCAGTTCCACCTGCCTCCCTCCAGCCCAGGCCAAGTGGGGTGTCCCCATGGCTTCAGCACCCCGAGGGGGTTACCCCAAAAGCCTGGGAGGGATCGTGGGGGCAGCTGAAGCCAGCGAGGTTCAGGCCAGTTGGTTCACACTGCAAGAAGGGGTCACCAAGGGCATCCTCGTGGTGGGAAGGAAGGGGAGAAGTGCGAGGAGCCGGCTCGGTGGGCGCTGCAGAAAAGGGATGGGTGCAGGAGGAGGGGGCTGTATTTAGTTATCGTTATTGCTGGTGAATTAGACCAACAAGCCATTTTTAGTCACCTATCAAGGAAGATACAAGTCAGAGCAAATAGTTAAGGTCATGGGCATTTTTCTTGTTTTTTGTTTTTATTTTTTTTTTTTAAAGATTTTTATATATATACATATATTTAAAAAGAGGAAAAAAAATTACGCAAATTTGTTGTTTAAGCCCCGCAACCGGGCTCCCCATGGATGCCAACAGGCAGGGCCCAGGCTGCCCCTCTCCGGGTGCCCCACGGGGCCAGGGAGAGGCCCGAGCCCCCCGAGTTCCCTGCAGCCCCCACTCGAGGCAGAGGTAGCTCTCGGTGCATTTACAGCGCCTGTTTTTTCTTTCTTCCAAAGTTGCTACATCAAAATATGGAGTCGGTGGGGGGGGTACAGCGGGAAGCAGGGGACAGGGGAAAATCAAAATAAAACAGGGGCCGAAATACTTCTATTCATTTTAAACTAGAACTGCTACATCAAGCTTTTTTTTTTAATATATATGTATATGTATATATATATGTGTATATATATATATATATATAAAGGTTATTGCAACTGAAGATTTTATTAAAGGCCAACTTGGAGACTTGAGTAGGAACGTCATCTACAGAGAGGAGCAGCCCCCCCAGGACAGCCCCACTCTGGTTCCCAACAGCAAGCACTGGACGTTTGTTTGGGTCATGATTCTTTTTTTTTTTTCCCTTCTTTTTTTCTTTTTTTTCTTTTTTTTTTTTAAAGAAAGGGGTTTTGTCTTTTTCTCTAACATTTTTTCAGCATGCAGGAGGCTTTTACATCGTTTTCGCTTGTTAAGGTGAGGGAGGAGGTACAAGGAGCAGAGGAGAGCCCCCTGCACCTTCCCCATTCCCCACCCCCTACAGTCAGTGCTAGAACAGGTCCCCCCACCCCAGGTCCCCAACACAGGGGTCTCCTTCCCCCCTCCCCACTCCCACCCACCTCTTCACAACCTGGCATCAAATAAAGACATTGATCAAGAACTTGCTCACATTACCACGAACAGACTCCACTCAGCCAAGAACGACTACTCACTCACTAACACGGGGGGCTGCGGCCACCGCCTCCAGCTCAGCCCCTCCAGCCCCAACACCAACGTTTCTGAACGCCCCTCTGAAGGGTGGCTGATCCCCCTGCCCACCCCCCTGCCCACCCCCCGCCCCCCAGCTCTCTCTACATCAGCGGGAGAATTCTGCGCTGTGAACGGATAAAATACAACCCTGGGGTGGGGTGGGGTGGGGTGGGGAGGGCAGGACAGGATGGAGGAGGTGGCACTGGGGAGGGGAGAGGTTTCCAGAGAACAGCAGTGTCCCCCTCTCCCTTCCCTTCCCTTAACTGGGAGCAGACTGAGGCCAGATTTTGAGTGAGAATGGGTCAGTTTTAGGGAGGATGTGGCCAGCGCTGGCCAGAGCTCCTTTGCCAGTGCCACCCTGCCACGGGGAGGGACGGCTGTGCCGCAGGACAATTCGGGACGTGGGGGCTCTGGGGGTTCATCCAGAGCAGCCCAGCCCCCCATCATCCTACAGGCCCCACACGGGAGGGTGCAGAACACGGCGCCTTCCCCCAGGAAGTGCTCGCATCCCAACTCCTGGTGTGAAAGGCTCTGCTGCAGGGCCGGGACAACGCCTGGCCAGGGATTTCCTGGAGCTTTGGGGAGGAGGGGAGTACCAATCCTGCCTGACGGTGTCCCGTTAGCACGGCATCGTTACTTTTGTCTTTACTGTTTCCAAAACATCAGCATCTACTACAGCCCGGGAACATTGCCCACCCCTACGGAATAGATTACTGTCGATGCAAAACACTGGAGGCATCCCATCATCCCACCATCATTTCAAACCCTCCAACTGGTATCTGAAGATCAGAAGTGGATCTTTATCAGCACAGAGCACCAGCAGCACCTGCCCCAGCAGAGTGAGCTCAGCCCCGTCGGTGACCGCAGCCACGGCCGGCCTGAGCCCGCTGTGCCAGGGAGCAAGTGGCAGCAAACCAAGCAGGAGGGAGGATGTTCCCAGGAACACTACCACGATGAAAATAAAGTCTCCTGTAACTGAAGGGAATAAAAAATCTCAGGTGATTTTTCTTTTTTTGCTTGTTTGTTTGGGTTTGGTTTTTTTTTTTTTGATGTTAGAACTGTCTGTGCCAAGTTGTGAAACTTGTTGGTTCAGTTCTAAATCAGGGTCCAGGATCTGTGAGCAAAAGTTGAGGGGTAGGAAATGGGGAAGCGGTGGTAGTGGGAGAAAAATTATATATATGGGTTTATATACACACATATATATATATATAGGTGCTTGATTAATTAAGTGCCTATATATATATATACACACATATATTATAGCTGGGTGTACTGGTACTCAATAGGTCAATCCAACACATTTTTAACATCACAGCATTTTGGCATCCACAGACCAGCTGAACAAACCTGATGGAGTGAAGGTGCTGGCCTGCACCTTGCATGCGTTGGCACGGGAGCCAGATCTGAAGCCCATCCTCTCCCACTTCCCAATGGTTTTAAAGTATCTCATTTAACAAAACCAGGAGTCTTGAAATGATTAAAGGATGTTCAACAAGGCAATTTTTTTTCTGTTTTGTTTCGTTCTGAAAAAAATATAATATATAAAAGTGGCCAACCTCAGGAAGATCCAGGAAAAGGACAGCTGAAGAGGTTTTGGTCCATAAAGAAATACTTTTTCTTCTTTTTTGTTTTTTTTTTTTCCCCTACTTGGTTTGGGTAACAAAAGTTTTGGTCCAGTTTAAAAACGACGACAACAAAATTATCTCTATAAACTTGGGGTTTTTTTTGCTCTCTGTTGGGATGCATGTTGGTTTCATATGGGCTCATTTGCCTGTATTGCATGAACGTCTCTCTTAGGTTTTGGTGCAATAGGTATGTTTTTTAAGAAAAGAAAAGCACAATGTTCTGTGTGTGTGCGTGTGGTGTGTGTAGCTGCAGCTGGCATCACTTGGAGGAAAGAATGAAGAGTGACCTAAGGAAACGTGGAAGTCGATGCACTCCCCCCATGGACGGGAACTCGGGAATGCTTTGGAAATACCCTGTTAGTGACTCCTGATTGGACTGATGAACAAATCCCTGCTTGGATAAGGAAAAAAGAACAAAGTTCCAGACTCCACGGTGGCTCAGAATAACAAAATAAATGCTCGTCGCCTGGTGTGATCCCAGTAGGTTCTTCCAAACCTTCTTCAGTTTCACTGGCGTCGTTTTTATTTCTTCACCTTCTTTTTTTGATTTTCTTTTTTTTGTGTTTTTTGTTTGGGTTTTTTTTTAGAAAAAAAGGAAAACAATAAAAGTTCTTTAGCTGTGATTTTTTTTTTTTTTGTTTAAATCTTTGAGGTAATACAGTTGTGCCCTCGTTCTAACAGGTTCCCAGAGGTTGATGGTTTCTTTCTTGTCTTCTAAATCCCTGTCTTCCGTTTTCCTTTCTTTCTGTTGTTTCTTTCTGAGCTCCCAGTTGGGCCGACAACCCTGGGGGGAGGAGAGTGGGGGCTTCAGGCCAAGACAAAGGTGGAAGGTGGCTGGAGAAAGGCTGGCAGGGCCCTCCCTGCATCCCTGCTCCCTCCCCGCTCGATCCAGGTGGCCTGGCTTGGTCATCGCCAAGAAGTCCCAATCTCACCACCAAAAAAAACTGAACTAAACTGCTTCGCTTGCGAGATCCGAGTGTGCGTTCTGAGTACTTGGTTTACAAAAGACATTGCAGGCTGGAGCATTGTTCGCCCTTCAAAATTTCTGGCTTTGCTATTCATTTTAATTTTATTATTCACTTATTATTTTTTTTAAAAAATAACATACATTGCTTGTAAAATAATTTCTTTTCTTTTCTTCTTTTTCTTCTTTTTCTTCTTTAAATTAATTTATTCTTTCATTCATTTTTTTTTTTTTGTTCTTCAGATGTCATTATTATTATTATTATTATCATTATTATTATTATCATCATCATTTTTCTCTCACGGACCCCCCCCACTCTCCCTTCCTGCCCCCACCCCCCCAATGCCCTGCTCTGTCTCTTTAGGAAAATATTCTAATGGCCTGAGTGGCTGCCGCGTGGCAGACGGGGCACTCGGGATCAGTCCTCTCGCAGATCCTCACGGCACACTCCATGCAGAACAGGTTGTGGCCGCACGGCACCAGCGCGGCCGTGACCTCGCTCTCGAAGCACACCATGCACTCGCGGCTGCTGCCCACCGACGTCCGGGCAGCGGCGGGCGTTCCCAGCTTGGAAAAGCCCTGCAGCGGCTCCCCCTGCGACCGCCGCGGCAGCCCGGAGAGGCCGGGCTCCGGGATGGAGGAGGACGGCGAGCGGTGGGAGTTGGGGTGGATGGTGCCGGTGCTGCTGGAGCGCTGCTGCTTCGAGAAGAGCACCGAGACAGGGTTGGTGTTCTCCTGCCCAGCCCACATGGGGGCCCCTGACTCCGGCACCCCGTAGTACAAATCCTGCTTGTTCACACCGTAGTTGGGGAAGAGGTAACCGTAATTGAAGTCGTTTTGGTCGTTCAGCCGGGGGGTCTCGTAGACGGGGTCAACAGAGCAGTCGCCGATGCAGCCCAGGCTGTTCTGGCGGAAGGTGGAGAGGGGCTTGCAGCCCGGCGCTGGCGTGTGGACCCGCCAAGCCTCTGAGTAGCGGTTCTCCATGCCGGAGTCAGGGCTGCTGGAGAGGAAGTCGTTCTCGTTGTTGTACTCCAGAATCTTGCCCGTCCTCACCGCGATGTGCGTCTCGATCTCCTCGCGGGCGCGCTCCACGTTGCCCGGCGCGCCGGTGATCTCAAAGACGGGGTCCCGGTCTCGGCTGGGCGTGATGATGTAGGTGTTGGTCTGCTGCTGGATCCGCTTGATGGTGGCTCCCTTGGGGCCCACCACCAGCCCCACCACGCGGTAGGGCACGCGCACGCGGATGGTGACCTGCCCCGGCAGGGTGGGCGCGCTGCCGAAGGTGGTGCCCGCCTTGTTGCGGGAGGCCCTGATCATGGAGAAGTGCTCGGCCGCCGAGATGATCTCCCGCCGGGCCATGGCCACGTCCTCCCGCCGCCCTGTCACCATGAAGACCGGCTCCTCCCCCCTCACCGGGGTCTTGATGTAGGTGTTGGTCTTTGCCCGCAGGGCTTTGATCTTGCAGCCTTGGGAAGAGAGAGAAGAAGGCACAGCAGTTAATGAGGCTGTCCCACAGCTCGCCCTGCTCTGCAGGACACCGGGCTGAGTGGCCACAATCTCTTGTGCCACCTGGCAGCCACTGAGCAGGACGTGGAACAAGGAAAAGGCCCTATCCCCCTAACCCTGAGGGGAAATGCCAGAGGGAGGCCCAACCTCACCATTCCCAGAGACTCCCTCCCTCAGGAGTGCCATGCTCCCTCATTCCCCAAAATGGAGATCACCATTTTGTGTGCTGCAGCCCAGTACACCATCCCCCCCAACTGCTTTCCCTCAGCCATCATCCCTAAGATCTCCCTTCCACCCACCCCAACACCACGGAGTAATGGGGGATCCACCCCAGGTGTCAGTGCCTCTGTGACAAGGCCTGTCCCCAGAGCCCCAGGGTGGCCTCCCAGAGACAGTGGTCATCCTTGGGCTCTGGGGACAGGGCTGATGCATGGGGCAGCCTGGAGGTCACAGGAGAACAGAGGGATGCTGGTCCTGAAGGGCCAGTGTGGAAGCCCTTGGCCACCCTGTGCCAGCTCCCAAGGGGAGCTGCCTTGACTCCAGAGGATTTTGGTACTATTGGGAAAGAACAGAGGGATGCTTCCACAATGTGGAAGCCCTTGGCCACCCTGTGCCAGCTCCCAAGGGGAGCTGCCTTGACTCCAGAGGATTTTGGTACTACTGGGAGGTTTTGAGGTGAATACCATGAACTTCAGGGGGACAAGTTTGGAGGGGAGTTGCAGAGATGCAGCAGTTTGGGACTCCCCACTGCAGATATGGCAGGACTGCAAATGCCAGCAGAGCTAGATGACCAGGGGTAGCAGGAGGCCAGGATTTGCTTTGGGGCTGAAACAGCAAGAAATGGGGCAAGGCTGCCCTCCTGTGAACCCCAGTGCAAAGACTCCTGCTCCAGGTGCTCAGACCTTCTCCCGAGATCACTGGCCAAGTGGTGCTTTTGTGTACCAGTATCCACATCCCAGAGCACACCAAGCCCATTCCCCAAATCCTAGAACTGACCAAGCCCATTCCCCCAGCTCCTCGCAGCTCAGAAAACAGCCTTCTGCTTTCCCAAAAAGGGCAAAAGACTTTCCAGCGTGTTTTGGCTTCCAAATGATCTTTTGGAGGGTCTTGATCCAGCTGATTGGCTTCAGGTTCCCAGACGACACCAGGATGCCATCATGCAACTAAGAGTTTTTACAGATGTGGCACAGTTCTCTAAACTGCTCCTGGACCCCTCCTTGCTGCTGTCCTGCCCCTCAGACCCATCTCTCAAAAAGCTCACTTGGTGCCCCAAGGCTTTTCTGGCACCAAGCTCCAGGGCAGGCTGGGGGTTCCTCTGCAGGAGGTGTGCACTGAGCTCAGATCCCAAAGGAAAGGTAAAACCTGTGATTCTCCAGTGCAGATGAAGTGAGGTGAGCACTTTGCTGCGGTTTCCCAAGGATTTGGGTGTCTGACAGAACCAGAGGATGAGGACACAGCACTGGAACTTCTGTGAGATCCCCCAGCACCTCCTACCCCACCTTCTCTCCCCAGAAAAGACCATCTCCTGTACTTCTGACTACCTGACACCGGCAGGTTTTCCTCCACACACTCCACTGACATCACACTACAACAATGACCTGCAAACGATGCCTCTGCAACCACCAAACGCAGATTCCTCAGCTCCTGGGCTGGAGCATTATTATTTACACAGATCCTAATAAATAACAGCACCTCTCAGGCTGGGAGCTCAGTGCTGCCACTCACGCACAGCTCCCCTCGTGAGACACAGGCTGGTGACATCGGGGTGCTCCCCGGAAAGCAGCGATCCCAGCACCCTGTATCGTTGGCAAGGACTGAAGCCCACCCCTGTGGCGATGGAAAGAGCCCGGTGCCACGAGAGCTGGCACGAACGACTCCCTGGGCTCACACGCCGCGGCAGCCGCTGCATCCAGCGGTGCCCGGCGTGCAGCACGCTCAGCCCGGCTGGCCGCGCTCGCAGCACTGGCCCTGCAGGGGAACAGGCATGGCCAGGGCAACACAGGGGCACTGGGCATGGGCAGAGCAGGGGCACGGCACATGGGCAGGGCACCACAGGGGAACAGGCATGGGCAGAGCACTGCAGGGGCACTGGGCATGGGCAGGGCACCACAGGGGCACGGGACATGGGCAGGGTACCACAGGGGCACTGGGCACAGGCAGGGCACTGCAGGGGCACTGGGCACGGGCAGGGCAGTGCAGGGGCACAGGCAGGGCACCACAGGGGCACAGGCACAGCACCACAGGGCAGCGCAGGGGCATGGGCAAGGTACTGCAGGGGCATGGCACCGCAGGAGCATGGGGCATGGGCACAGCACAGCAAGGGCATGGGGCATGGGCAGAGCACCACAGGGGCACGGGGCACGGCACTGCAGGGGCATGGGCAGAGCACTGCAGGAGTTTGGGCAGGGCACCACAGGGGCATGGGGCACAGCACTGCAGGGGTATGGCACTGCACAAGTACCAGGCACAGCACTATGTGGGCACCAGGCATGGCATGGCATGGCATGGGCACTGGCACCGCACAAGCAACGGGCACAACACTGCGCAGGCACTGGGCATGGCACCACAGGGGCATGGCATCACACAGGCACGGCCCCACGTGGGCACCGGGTACGGCACTGCACAGGCACTGGGCATGGCACAGCATGGGCATGGCACCACATGGGCATGGCACCACACAGACACGGCCCCACGCGGGCACCGGGTACGGCACTGCACAGGCACTGGGCATGGCCGGCACCACACAAGCACCGGGCACAGCACCGCGCAGGCACTGAGCATGGCACCACAGGGGTATGGCACCACACAGGCACGGCCCCACGTGGGCACCGGGTACGGCACTGCACAGGCACTGGGCATGGCACAGCATGGGCATGGCACCACAGGGGCATGGCATCACACAGGCACGGCCCCACGTGGGCACCGGGTACGGCACTGCACAGGCACTGGGCATGGCACAGGCACCGGATGGCACAGGCACCCGGCACAGCACAGCACGGGCATGGCACTGCAGGGGCATGGGGCACAGCACCACACAGGTACCCGGCACAACGCCACACAGGCACTGGGCACGGCACCTCACGGGCATAGCACTGCACAAACACCAAGCACAGCACCACGTGGGCACCAGGCATGGCACTGCACGGGCACAGCACTGCACAAGCACCACGTACAGCACTGCACTGGCACTGGGCATGGCACCACATGGGCACCGGGCACGGCACTGCAGTGGCACTGGGCATGGCACCACATGGGCACCGGGCACAGCCATGAACCCACTGCCCCTTGGAGGGTCTTGGCAGCAGCACGGGACACGCGCTGGTAAATCAGAACTTCACTGTCAACTCTCACTGTGATTTTTAACTCCTCAGAGCTGCCTCAGCTCCCGAAGCCTCATTTCCTGTTTCTGGAGCAGGAATAGCTGTCTCCTGCCTTGTGCTCCTGCAAAATTTCCTCCGAGCGCTGCTGCACTCAACCCATCTCTGAAACAGGAATTCCAGGGTCCTGGGGAATGGAAATGCCAGACCTGGCACAAAGAAGGATCTGGGAAAATCCCCAAATCCAAACCCAATCCATCCCCTGCCAAATCCAGTGTTGCTCACGGGTTACTCCCCGGAGTTTGCACCGTGAGGTACATTTGTGATGCTTTGCTGAGTAAAGTTTCCAAACAGCCCATGTGGACCAGCGGTCACCCAGTGGTGTGCTATCAGCTCCCAGGAAACTCAAAGGACAGCAATTCATGGAGCCAAGCACAACTCAACTGTAGGATAAATCCACCCAGGCAAAATCCATAACAAAGGTGCACCCCAAGGAGGGCTGGATAAAACCCTGAAAGGTCAGCCATGCCCTCTGGCAGCCCTGGCAGGGTGGGCTGTCCCTGGCCCACCCCTGGCAGACATTTCCCTGCCCCGCTCCTGTGCTGCTCCCTCCCTCTCCAAAGAGGGAGATTCCATCTTAGGAAGATTAACCGAGATGCCACCATTTCCCCAGGGATATCACCAGAGCATCACATGGAAAGACAGGGGTGTTCCCAGCAAGCATCCAGCTGAAAATGCCTCCCCGTGCATCACCCCGGGCTGCAGGAGCTCCGTGGAATTCCGCAGTGACCCGCGCTCTGCCTCTGGAGCGCCAGGCTCGCTCTGCTGCGCGGAAAGGACCTCGGGCAGGCGTGTGGCACGGCTGGCACCGGGCTCCGCGCTGCTCTGAGCTGTGGGACAATGACGGCGTGTGGGGGAGAGGGATCTGAGCCCAGCAGGACAGGAAACAATCCCGGAGCCGACAGGGAGGGTCAGGCAGGCAGAGCGGTGACAAAGGACGGGGGCTCCATGCTGGGGACAGATGGAAGGGAGCAGTGGCAAGGAATACACATGAATGAGGGCAAATGTAAGCGCGTTACGCGAGCTGCAGGAGTGGGAGGGAGTTGGGGATGGAGCAAAGGTGGTGGAAATTGAGGGAGAGGCACACCCTGATCCCTCCAAGGGAGGAGGAGAATGAGGTGTGTGGGAGCAAAGCCAAGACACCCCAAAACGGCAAAGGGAAGGTGGGCAAGGAGAGAGCACGGCGAGAGGGAGGGGAAGGAGGATCTGGAACGGACAAAAGGACGCGTGGTGCAGTCGGTGGTGTGAGAAGGGGGGGAGGAGGGAGGGTCTCTGTGCAGGCCTGCAGACGGGAAAGCCAGCTTTGTGGAGACAGACAGATGGGGATCCTGTGCTTAAAAACTGGAGAAAATCACCTCCTAGGAAATTAGACCAACTCCAGCACGCCCAGCAGCCCTGACCTCCAGCAGCTCCGAACCGGCACAGACAATGGGCAAACCATCAGCAGCCCAAACCCAGAGAACTCCACAACTTCCAGGGGCGCTGCACTGCTTCACATCAGCTAAAACCAGGCTGGGCTCAAACGTGATTTACTCACTTAGTGCCAAGGCTCCGGGCCCATCCCAGCCCATCCCTGACGGCTC